CTTCAGTATCTTCTGTCGCAACTATATCGTTAGGCAGTTATACTGTATATAAACTGCAGGCATCAGGGAGCCGTTATTAATATGCGGCGCATTGAAATCGCTTTTGAACGCGCGCACGCTTTTTACTTTCACTTTCGAGATTCGCGATCACACGTACATACGGAGCAGCACTCATTTTACAAGATTAGATGCTTGTCAGTGCTGCTCAGGATCTGCAAATCATTCACCATCATCCTATCTGTCATCTCTCCTTACTCTGTTTATGTGGTAAGTGAAATGTTATGTACTGTAATGTAACAGTCTACCGCTAGCATGCGGCTAACCATGTCCCTTTAGTGGCTCCGTAGAACGCGTTATTTGTTTTCCGCGCCTTTCTGAACACTGATTCAGCCACACCTCTAACCCAGTCGGTGGTGGTTGTGGTCCGCACAGAACTCTTATTTGACATGGTCACAAATTACTGTAACCGTTATATGCTACGCAAGTCTTTTTTTATGCCACGCGAGTCTACAGTGTGTGCGTGAGACAATGTGTTCTTCTGTTGTCTTTGACAGCTTTTAGGTGCGTTATTGGCAGCGCCACCCTCTGCTTACATGAACACCACCGCATCAGCATGGAAAACATGGGGACATTTTTAAAGACAATAATCGCACAACCTATTCGATATTCTATAATTAAATCAACTAATCGAATGTTTGAAAACCGTGACCCATCCCTAGTAGTTAATCACTTCCTCAAGAATAATATGGTGTTTGATAGCGAATTGTCATTTCTTGTTTTTGCCTTAAGAAACTACACACTTCCAAGAAAATAGTATTTGGTTGTCAGTTGTCAAACTTATTTTATTTTGTCATTTTATTTTATTTCCACTTATTTACAAAAAGTACATGCTTCTATTAAAGTGGTATTTGGTTATCAGTTTTTTTATTTTTTATTTTATTTTATTTTATTTTATTTTACTTAATTTAATTTAATTTAATTTATTTTTTAATTTAATTTAATTTTACTTAATTTAATTTAATTTAATTTAATTTTAATATTTTATTACATCCCTAGTAGTTAATCACTTCCTCAAGAATAATATGGTGTTTGATAGCGAATTGTCATTTCTTGTTTTTGCCTTAAGAAACTACACACTTCCAAGAAAATAGTATTTGGTTGTCAGTTGTCAAACTTATTTTATTTTGTCATTTTATTTTATTTCCACTTATTTACAAAAAGTACATGCTTCTATTAAAGTGGTATTTGGTTATCAGTTGTTTTATTTTTTATTTTATTTTATTTTATTTTATTTTACTTAATTTAATTTAATTTAATTTATTTTTTAATTTAATTTAATTTTACTTAATTTAATTTAATTTAATTTAATTTTAATATTTTATTAACACTTCCAATAAAGTGGTATTTGGTTATCAGTTGTCAAACATTTCTTTTATTTTACTTCACTTTACTTTACACACTTCCAATAAAGTGGCATTTGGTTATCAGTTATTACATTTTTTATTTAATTTGATTTTATTTTACTTAATTTTATTGAATTTAATTTAATTAAATTTTATTTTTTATTAAATTTAATTTTACTTAATTTAATTTAATTTTACTTAATTTAATTTAATTTTAATATTTTATTAACACTTCCAATAAAGTGGTATTTGGTTATCAGTTATTTTATTTTTTATTTTATTTTACTTAATTTTATTGAATTGAATTGAATTTTTTATTTTATTTTATTTTACTTAATTTTATTGAATTTTAATATTTTATTAACACTTCCAATAAAGTGGTATTTGGTTATCAGTTATTTTATTTTTTATTTTATTTTACTTAATTTTATTGAATTGAATTGAATTTTTTATTTTATTTTATTTTACTTAATTTTATTGAATTTTAATATTTTATTAACACTTCCAATAAAGTGGTATTTGGTTATCAGTTGTCAAACATTTATTTTATTTTACTTCACTTTACTTTACACACTTCCAAAAAAGTGGCATTTGGTTGTCAGTTTATTTGATTTATTATTTTTTACATTTTTCTATCACTTTTTTGTGGTTTGAATATAAGCCAAATCTCTTCAGATGCTTGTTAAAAAGATGAAAGTATGAGTTAGTAATTGGTTTGTGGTACTGTGCAGTGAGTGCGTCTCGTGGCGAGGTAGCTGTTTTAATGATTCAGCAGATGGCCGAGGAGACGCACATTTCACACGCCGCTGTAGGGGCTGCTGACGGCACTCCTGCGCAGATGCTGCGTTTTCATTTCCATCTCCTACTACATTTAAAACATGCTTAAAAAAATGAAATGGAGATTTATATATTTTTTTGCTTTCTGGATTAACACTTCCAATAAAGTGGTATTTGGTTATCAGTTGTCAAACATTTATTTTATTTTACTTCACTTTACTTTACACACTTCCAATAAAGTGGCATTTGGTTGTCAGTTTATTTGATTTATTATTTTTTACATTTTTCTATCACTTTTTTGTGGTTTGAATATAAGCCAAATCTCTTCAGATGCTTGTTAAAAAGATGAAAGTATGAGTTAGTAATTGGTTTGTGGTACTGTGCAGTGAGTGCGTCTCGTGGCGAGGTAGCTGTTTTAATGATTCAGCAGATGGCCGAGGAGACGCACATTTCACACGCCGCTGTAGGGGCTGCTGACGGCACTCCTGCACAGATGCTGCGTTTTCATTTCCATCTCCTACTACATTTAAAACATGCTTAAAAAAATGAAATGGAGATTTATATATTTTTTTGCTTTCTGGCTTTTTCCACACACACACACACACACACACACACACAAACACACAAACAAATCTGCGCCCTGGTACAGATATTAATACCATGGCTGAAACATCATCTTGTAGCAATCATGAGTAGGTACAATTATTCTGCAGCGATCTCGATCTGATGAAAAACATCTCGATCTCCTTTACACTTGGCTGAAAGCCTTTTGATATAATTGTTCGTCTCTCTGAGCGTAACTCAGGATTCTGTCTGTCCACTCACAGTAATTGAATGACCTCTCCACATCTTCCACTCAGAGCTGGACCGGAAGAGGGTTTTGTTCTCTCAGCACTTTCAGAGCTGTGCTTTTACCACTTTGACAGACAGAGCTCATTACATTTATTCAGGAATAATCTGAACTGTTCCCAGACCCTTTCCGTATACATGGGTGTACTTGTGAGCCGCCCCTCAGAACATCAGGCTTCTGTGCAGCGGAAATAACAAGCGGAGAGCCGTCAACAAGAAGCTGAGTTTTGACAGTAGATGTTTTGGCACAGCTTCAGTGAGTAGTATTAGTCTAAAATCATCTTCAGGAGTGGAGGAAGTGCAGAGGCTTTCAATATAAGCACACGTTACTGTACAGCTTCCATACTTCACATATGATATATCATGCACAGAATATTTGAGAACTCATCTGTACTCACGACTGTATATAGTGAATGTACTATGAGGCGTATAAGGGTTCATGAAAGTATTCTGTACTGAAGCGATAAGTACAAGTGGCTGAGAAGATGCTGTAACCTCTGATTAAAACAAAATGTTGCTATGCAGTGAAATTGGCAATAGGCTATAGGAGCTGCACAGTGATATGGACTATTTTATAGACGTTGATATTTAAAAAAATATATATATAGATAAATCCAGTATTAAAATTTTATTTGACTGCTTGCTCTGTTTTCATTGACACTTCCTTCTTCTCTCTTCAGGTGCGGGTGAATCAGGGAAGAGCACCATTGTGAAACAAATGAAGTAAGTAGAAACTTAAGAACATTTTTGTTTTGTTTTTGTTTAGGGCTCTGTAAAATTTCTAAATAGTTTTATAAAAAAAAAAAAGCATGTCCAATCAATTAAATTCATTAAACTTTTACAATTTAATAATTTGATATCTGTCTGTCTTCTATCTATCTATCTGTCTGTCTGTCTGATATCAATCTATCTATCTGTCTGTCTGTCTGATATCTATCTGTCTGTCTGTCTGTCTGATATATATATACACATATATATATATTTTTTTTTATATATATATATATTTTTTTGCTTTCTGTCTTTTTCCACACACACACACACACACACACACACACACACACACACACAAACAAATCTGTGCCCTGGTACAGATATTAATACCATGGCTGAAACATCATCTTGTAGCAATCATGAGTAGGTACAATTATTCTGCAGCGATCTCGATCTGATGAAAAACATCTCGATCTCCTTTACACTTGGCTGAAAGCCTTTTGATATAATTGTTCGTCTCTCTGAGCGTAACTCAGGATTCTGTCTGTCCACTCACAGTAATTGAATGACCTCTCCACATCTTCCACTCAGAGCTGGACCGGAAGAGGGTTTTGTTCTCTCAGCACTTTCAGAGCTGTGCTTTTACCACTTTGACAGACAGAGCTCATTACATTTATTCAGGAATAATCTGAACTGTTCCCAGACCCTTTCCGTATACATGGGTGTACTTGTGAGCCGCCCCTCAGAACATCAGGCTTCTGTGCAGCGGAAATAACAAGCGGAGAGCCGTCAACAAGAAGCTGAGTTTTGACAGTAGATGTTTTGGCACAGCTTCAGTGAGTAGTATTAGTCTAAAATCATCTTCAGGAGTGGAGGAAGTGCAGAGGCTTTCAATATAAGCACACGTTACTGTACAGCTTCCATACTTCACATATGATATATCATGCACAGAATATTTGAGAACTCATCTGTACTCACGACTGTATATAGTGAATGTACTATGAGGCGTATAAGGGTTCATGAAAGTATTCTGTACTGAAGCGATAAGTACAAGTGGCTGAGAAGATGCTGTAACCTCTGATTAAAACAAAATGTTGCTATGCAGTGAAATTGGCAATAGGCTATAGGAGCTGCACAGTGATATGGACTATTTTATAGACGTTGATATTTAAAAAAATATATATATAGATAAATCCAGTATTAAAATTTTATTTGACTGCTTGCTCTGTTTTCATTGACACTTCCTTCTTCTCTCTTCAGGTGCGGGTGAATCGGGGAAGAGCACCATTGTGAAACAAATGAAGTAAGTAGAAACTTAAGAACATTTTTTTTGTTTTGTTTTTTGTTTAGGGCTCTGTAAAATTTCTAAATAGTTTTATTTAAAAAAAAAAAAGCATGTCCAATCAATTAAATTCATTAAACTTTTACAATTTAATAATTTGATATCTGTCTGTCTGATATCTATCTATCTGTCTGTCTGTCTGTCTGTCTGTCTGATATCTATCTGTCTGTCTGTCTGTCTGTCTGTCTGATATCTATCTGTCTGTCTGTCTGATATCTATCTGTCTGTCTGTCTGATATCTATCTGTCTGTCTGTGTCTGTCTGATGTCTGTCTGTCTGATGTCTGTCTGTCTGTCTGATATCTATCTGTCTGTCTGTCTGATATCTATCTGTCTGTCTGATGTCTATCTGTCTGTCTGTCTGATATCTGTCTGATGTCTGTCTGTCTGTCTGTCTCTCTCTCTCTGTCTGTCTGTCTCTCTGTCTGTCTGTCTGATATCTGTCTGTCTGTCTGATATCTATCTGTCTGTCTGTCTGTCTGATATCTATCTATCTGTCTGTCTGTCTGTCTGATATCTATCTGTCTGATGTCTGTCTGTCTGATGTCTGTCTGTCTGATATCTGTCTCTCTGTCTGTCTGTCTGATATCTATCTGTCTGTCTGATGTCTTTGTGTCTGTCTGTCTTTCTGTCTGATGTCTGTCTGTCTGTCTGATGTCTGTCTGTCTGTCTGATGTCTGTCCCTCTGTCTGTCTGTCTGATATCTGTCTGTCTGTCTGATATCTCTCTGTCTGTCTGATATCTGTCTGTCTGATATCTGTCTGTCTGTCTGATATCTATCTATCTGTCTGTCTGTCTGATATATAACTATCTGTCTCTGATATCTGTCTGTCTGATATCTGTCTGTCTGATGTCTGTCTGTCTGATATCTGTCTGTCTGTCTGATATCTGTCTGTCTGTCTGATGTCTGTCTGTCTCTGTCTGTGTGTCTGTCTGATGTCTGTGTGTCTGTCTGATATCTGTCTGTCTGTCTGATATCTATCTGTCTGTCTGATGTCTCTGTCTGATGTCTGTCTCTCTGTCTGTCTGTCTGTCTGTCTGATATCTATCTGTCTGTCTGATGTCTGTCTCTGTTTGTCTGTCTGATGTCTGTCTGTCTGTCTGTCTGATGTCTGTCTCTCTGTCTGTCTGTCTGATATCTATCTATCTGTCTGTCTGATGTCTGTCTCTGTTTGTCTGTCTGATGTCTGTCTGTCTGATATCTGTCTGTCTGTCTGATATCTGTCTGTCTGTCTGATGTCTGTCTGTCTCTGTCTGTGTGTCTGTCTGATGTCTGTGTGTCTGTCTGATATCTGTCTGTCTGTCTGATGTCTGTCTGTCTCTGTCTGTGTGTCTGTCTGATGTCTGTGTGTCTGTCTGATATCTGTCTGTCTGTCTGATATCTGTCTGTCTGTCTGATGTCTGTCTGTCTCTGTCTGTGTGTCTGTCTGATGTCTGTGTGTCTGTCTGATATCTGTCTGTCTGTCTGATATCTATCTGTCTGTCTGATGTCTCTGTCTGATGTCTGTCTCTCTGTCTGTCTGTCTGTCTGTCTGATTGATTTCTTTCTGTCTGTCTGATGTCTGTCTCTGTTTGTCTGTCTGATGTCTGTCTGTCTGTCTGTCTGATGTCTGTCTCTCTGTCTGTCTGTCTGATATCTATCTATCTGTCTGTCTGATGTCTGTCTCTGTCTGTGTGTCTGTCTGATATCTGTCTCTCTGTCTGTCTGTCTGATATCTATCTCTCTGTCTGATGTCTGTCTCTGTCTGTCTGTCTGTCTGATGTCTGTCTGTCTGTCTGTCTGTCTCTCTGTCTGTCTGTCTGATATCTATCTATCTGTCTGTCTGATATCTAACTATCTGTCTGTCTGATATCTATCTATCTGTCTGTCTGTCTGTCTGTAGGGCCCTATGAAATTTTTTAATGTAATCAAAGGAAAAGAAAATGTCCTTTTATTTTTATGGCACAAAAATGATTACAAAATTATTTATTTATTTATACCTTGAAAAGTGCATTTTACTGTATAGTAGTAATATATTTCCTAAAGTTTTAACAAATTCATTTTTTAGGTTATCAAAAATAGTGGTAATCAAACAATAACAATTTAATAAAAATATAAACAAATTAAAATGTAAGAACTCCTATTATTTTTTGCCGTTGTTGTTATTATTATTACTTTGAGAAGTACATTCTACTGTACAATAATAATATATTTCTGTCACTAAGTTAAACCAGACTTCTGTTTCAATGTGTTGTTGTGAAGATCTTCTATCTATCTGTCTGTCTGTCTGTCTGTAGGGCCCTATGAAATTTTTTTATGTAATCAAAGGAAAAGAAAATGTCCTTTTATTTTTATGGCACAAAAATGATTACAAACTTATTTATTTATTTATACCTTGAAAAGTGCATTTTACTGTATAGTAGTAATATATTTCCTAAAGTTTTAACAAATTCATTTTTTAGGGCCCTATGAAATTTATGAATATTTTTCTTCCCCCAAACTTTAAATTTTTCTAGGTTCCATTTTAATGGTTTAACTAGATTTTACAAAATAAAAACAGGCCTAATCAGTTGAATTCATAGAACGTTTGCAATCAAATAATTTAATACAAATACAATTAAATATTTTTATTACAAATTTATTATCAAAAATAGTGGTAATCAAACAATAACAATTTAATAAAAATATAAACAAATTAAAATGTAAGAACTCCTATTATTTTTTGCCGTTGTTGTTATTATTATTACTTTGAGAAGTACATTCTACTGTACAATAATAATATATTTCTGTCACTAAGTTAAACCAGACTTCTATTTTAATGTGTTGTTGTGAAGATCTTTGAGTTTGTGTGTGTCAAATGAAATAGTAAGATGAGAAACATCTCGAGTATTCACCACACACTTTTTAAGCATCATATACATGCTTCCTTTTCATTTTACATTCAAACAAGCCTGTGATTTCAGGAAGACACATCCAGGCTCTGTACTCCTCCTCTGAAACTGCTGCTTTAACTAAATCACACACATTGACAGTAAATTAGCTCCTTGCAGCTGCAGAGATACAAGTGCGCACACACTATTTATATTCAGTAATAAAGCCGTGCTTCATCCGTCACATTTATTTGCAGCCACAGCTCTTTACACAAATGACATCATGTGTGAGACGCAGCACTAAAACAGGAGTTAACAGAAAGCAGCTCTAGCCGCTGTTATGAGTCTCATTTCCGCACGAGTGCACCTCCTTGCAGGCCCCAGAGCTGCTTCCTTTACTTCAGATGCCCTCATCCTGTTCATGATTAATAGACACCATCCATCTCCTCACGATACCAAAATATAGCACTTCTCTTTCTCTCTTTGCTCGTGTCTAGATGGTAACCCTCATTCTGCAAAACGTGTGGATGCACACTTCATAAACGCATCATTTTGCATACTTAAGCATATTTTCAATATTTAATAGAACTATTTAATGCTATTTTCAGCATTTGGCATGCTCTCTTGATTTTATTTTGATACGATTGAGTAATTGAGATTATAGAATGAGGATGTAGCTCGCATGTTAAATCATTTAGCAGTTCTCTGAGCCCTCAGTGTCCATACAGTAACAACAACTTTTCATTTCATTAGATTATTAAGGAGAATAAAACTGCTAACAGTTTACCTGGTTTTGAAATGGTTAACTTATAATTGTTAGTTTACGCTTTGTTCGTATGCTACCATTCAAAAATTTGTGGTTGGTAAGATTTTTAAAAATGTTTTTGAAAGTCTCATGCTCACCAAGGCTGCATTTATTTGATGAAAAATACAGTAAAAACAGTAATATTGGGAAATATTATTGCTCGTTAAAATAACGGTTTATAAATTGAATATATTTTAAAATGTAATTTATTTCTATGATGCAAAACTGAATTTTCAGCATCATAACTCCAGTCTTCAGTGTCACATTATCCTTCAGAAATCATTCTTATATGCTGATTTGCTCAAGAAACATTTCTTATTGTTGTAGAAAATGGTTAATATTTCTGTGAAAACTATTTTCCATATTCGTTGATTAATAAAAAGTTAAGAACAGCAAATCTTTTATAACATGTATTTCTTTATCACTTTTGATCAATTTAATTCATACTTGCTGAATAAGTGTTTTTTAAAATCTTACTGACCCCAAACGTTTAAATGTTTGTTACTGTTGAATGCCTTTTTAAAAACTCAAGTTTGAATGTTTCTTTTGCAATTACTTGACCATGTAAAAGGAGAAAAATAATAAAAAGACTGTATATAAAATTGTGTGCATAATATGCAGAGCAATCAGGTCACTGTTTTGTAAGATACAGTAAATAAAAGTTGTTGGATGAAAGGTGCGCGCATTTATTCTTGGCTATAAACGTTTTTATTGTACTATATATATCTTTCAGTGTAAGTAGAAGTCAGATGCACAAAGAGAGATAGCGAAAGCCTTGAATAGTTTTATTATTTCCGTTTGACTGGAGGAGCTGGGATCTCGATCCATTTTTCATGAGGACCGCACAGTTTGATGCTCGGGTCATTAATGCAGGTTTAAGCAGAAACAGTGTTACAATGACAATGAGTGTTAGCAGCAGCAGACGGGAGTTTCAAACACTGCAAATTCTGCTGCTTTATACCCAGAGTAACAGTCCTGAAGGTGTCATGTATCACACGTCTTCAATCCACCATTTACCAAGTGTGTGAAGATCCAGCTTTATTTGATCAAACCTTTTAAGATCCATTAGCCTGAGCTTCCGAAAAACATTTTTTAAAAATATATATTTCTAATGCTTTCCTTACTGACATTTTCAGTTTTGTTTTTTTTAAGTCAAATATATTTAAATGATTTTGATAAAGATGTAATCTAAAATATGTCAATAAGGCCCAACTGGCCTATTTGATATTTGCTGACTCGGTTATAGGAAGCGAAGACTGTGATATCTGCTGACGTTAGTGAATATGGAATGTGTTAAATGATGCACATTACTGCTCAGCACTGGAAACAGCCAGTTGTGAAACTGCACGTTTTAAATCGGAGAGGCACAAATACACATTTTTGGCTGATAATTAGTTTTATGGCTGATATAGTTGATACGATGGCCAATATCAGTTTTTGAAATAAATATATAGGCTACAGTTTTAGTTGTAGCAACAACTGTATAGACTGTTTAAAAAAATATTAAACCTATTATGGTTTAATATTTTTTGCTTCCAATATTTGCCTCATAAAACTCATGTGATAGACACATTAACCAATCAGACCAATTAAAATAAATTTATTTTAATACAGATCTTTTGATGCAAATTATTTAATACAGATTTTAATAAGATTTTTTTCTTTAGCATTCCCAGATTTAATTTAATAAAATTTTTTTAGTTTGCTTAGCAGTAGATTTTCTGCTTATACATTTTTTTTTTAATTCGATTATTTTTTAGATTTTTTTAATTACCATTCCCAGATATTATAATAAGATTGTTAAATTTTTATTTAATTTTATCTTATTTTTAAAAAAAATTAATTTTACAGATAGTATTATACCATTCTCTGCTGATCTTTTCAGGTCAATATAATTTATTTATTCCATTTCACCCTCTGTTCAGAATCATCCATGAAGACGGCTACTCAGAAGACGAGTGTAAGCAGTACAGAGCCGTGGTCTACAGCAACACCATCCAGTCAATAATGGCCATCATTAAAGCCATGAGCAACCTCAAGATCGACTACGGAGAGACCGGCCGAGTGGTAAGACCTGTAATGACTGGGACGAGTATGTAGGTCATGCTGGGTTTCTGTAAATAATTCAGAGTCCCACACACTCTTGCAACTTTTCTGATCTTCAGGTTTAATGTTTTGCATACAGTCTCAGATCCTTCAGAGGTGGATCGAGTTATTCTGTACATCAGTATATGATTCACAATAAGCAATTCCTTGGTTATTTTAACTTGAAGTATTGCCATTACAAATATACCATGGTAGTATGTTTGGAGACAGTAATTTTGCAGTAAATCCCTGCTCAAGGCAATCTGTAATTGCTCTAAAGCAAAGTTTGCTTCCAGTTACAGTCAAGTTCTTTCAACAATGTTTTTTTCCTCGCTCGGCACATCGTGTGTGTGTGTGTGT